CCTCAGGATAGCTGACTCAGGAATTCTGGGAGTTGAAGTCCATGAGTCATAAAAGAGTCGAGGTTGCCTACCCCTGGACTAACGAAACACTTCAAAGACAGTAGGTGTTGGAACTATGAAGATTGTTCAGCCCAATTTCTGCCCAGTGCAGGAAACCGTAACAGCATCCTTAACAAGAGGCCCATCCATCCCGTGTCCAAGAACTTTTAATAAAAGAAGATTCAACACCTTCTGAGATAATATGTTCCATCATTGAATAGTTGCTACTGGCTGGGAAATGTTTCCTAATGTCCAACCTGGAACAATTCTGCCTATTTGTGTATGACAATTCTTCTGATGTTGCAAGACAATTATCAGAGCTCTCCACAATTTTCTCTTCCCCGGGATATCATGTCCAATATTTTCACCTGTTCCACAAGTGTTTTCTTACCAGGTGTCCCATTTTGGTTGTTTTTCTCTGGAAATTTTCCACCGTATTAACGTTAAAGTGGAGTTCTGAGAACCACATGAAATATTCTGTCTGACCAACACAGGAATGTAGAGAGGAACAGTAACTTCTATGATATATAGTGGTACGTAAAAACTTAGGAATCTTGGTCAAATTGTAATTTCATTGAATCATTAAGTGAGCAACAATAAACCTCTACATGATACAAAATTAAGTACAACTGTCTAAAATTTGAACGCATGGTTCACATAAATAGTGCAGTTGTTTGGATTCAAAATGGTAAGAGCAGATAAATTTGACCACCTTTCTAGTGTCTAATTTACAATAGCTCCATTGGGAGAAATTATAGTTTCCAAATCTTCCCTGTAGAGATTAAGAGTTTTTTCTCTTCCTGCTTTTGGATTTTTTCCCATACGCTCTTCCATTTCAGAAGTGTTAAGCTTTTTTTGCAATCGTGGCATATTCCAGATCTATATATTTGCAGTATTCAATTCTTGGAACTAAGGAGTCTTTCTTGATATCATTCTCTTTCTTTCTAATAAGTACTTTATACATAGTTGATTTGGAGATACATTTCAGATGTATTAAAGCTGAAAAGAAATTGGGTAATTCAGCAAGACAGTGAAGGACTTTTGAGTTGGCTACAAGAAAGTTTGGAAGTTGCTTTTTCTTCCTAAGATGATGTTACACACTAATTGAAAGAGGCCCAAGCTTCTGTAGCTGCTATGTCCACTGTTTTCTTATTTTGAATCTGTAAACAACTGCACATAAATAGTAACGATTCATTCAAATTTATAGAAAGATGCAGCGTTGAACTCTGCTTCATGCAGAAGTCATGAAAAATTCTGTTCTAAGGATTTGTGGAAACATACCATTTGACGCAGGGGGGCCCTGAACGTTTGCATACAGAGGCATGGCGTAAAAGGTATCAAAATGAGTTTGGGCTCCTAAAATTCTTATCATATAATTAATGCAGAAAACTTTTCAAGGTAAATCTAAAAATTTACCATGAAACATCCGTTGCTGGAGGAAATACTTTGTGGGATTTTGACACAATACATTCTGCACTATATAAGAAGCCAGGAAACGCAATGGGACAAGTATGGCTCCATTCTAATCTAGAAACAGCTGCTGCTCTTACTAAGTCTTTAGTGCTGGTCACTTTGATGCTTTTTGGAATCCCTGTAGCATCTGATCTGAAAGTGGATTTAAAAATGGCAAGCTAGAAGAGGGATACGGAAAAAGACATTACCCCGGATATACAAATAAAATTGGCTGGTGTGTTAATAATTAAAAGGGGAATACAAATGGCAAACCAAAAGAGCGATTTGGGTAACTTTCTTGTACTGTGCAAAGGGACAAAGAAAAAAGGAAGCTGAACTGTAGGAAATTATTTGGAGGGATTCAAGATTAAGACTATTAAAAGCAGTGTTTTTGTAAAAAAAAAAAAAAAAAAAAGGTGCCGTAACTCCCACACATCATACAACCCGCCTTGCCTACTCTAAAAGGTTCCATCCAAAAAAGGTGCCGGAACTCCGTTCTGGCCATTCTATGACAAAAAAAAAAGCCCTGGTTAAAAGTAAAAGGAAGGAATATAAAGTAGGTTTATTTGATCAACATTAAAGTAAGACTTGTTATTTATGATAACACTTAAAGAACATTTATTGATCAGGACTGAACCACAGGTTTTTAAGGATCTGTTCATAAATAAGAGATGAGATATAGAACATAGAGATAGTTATATTCTAAGAGGTGGTGATAAGTTAAAATTGTTTTTACTTATTGTGATGGGGGGGGGGGAAGTCACTTTTTTATATATGTGGTCCTTGAGTTACGACTATAATGGAGCCTGCCCATTACGATCGTTAAGTCATGATGATCATAAAGGGATTGGTCACCAACGGTTTGCTCTGGGGCCGGTTGGGCCAAACATCAGACATAACTACCAGTTTTCAGCAAAACCATTGTAAAATGCAGTCACATGATAGGAGGATACTGCAAATAGCTGCAAATGCAGCCTGGTTGCCAAGCATCTGAATTGCGGTCACAACTGTCGGAACTTCAAATCCAAGTCATAAATAGCCACCAGACAGTTCCATCCGAAGGATTATCTGTGTATTTCTTTACTTTTTGTTTGCTACATTGTTTTTTTTTTTTCTTTTTCCTTCACTATTTTTTTCTTTTATTTTTCTGGTTTGTGTTACTTACAAAAATAGATAAATTTCTGCAGTATCAACTGTTAACTGGTTCCTTCTATGAAGATCATAAAAGCTACTTGGGATTCAGCTTAATCTTCATTTATATATTGCTTGCCTCCCTGGGCAGGATTGTAATAGGTATGTATTTGAAATCAGGGCATGTGGGAAAGAGTCCAGTATGTTACTGGCAGATAACATTGCATTTTTTGGACAATTGTCTTTGTCCCTTAACACAAATGTCTAAAGATGTAGAAAGTCCATTGCTATACATTTTTTATTCATATATCCTGCTTGTTGGCATTTTTGCTGGTGAAGACCAGTTTTTTAATCCTCAGCGCTTTCTTCCTGAAAAGATTAACTTGCCATAGATTGAGAAATTACAACTGTGCCCAACACATACTCTTTAACCATAATCTTGCTTTCTAGCTACATCATGAAGATGTGAAAAGATTGAGTTCAATGACATGTTAAATACTATGTTGACATGGTTCTTATTATTCATTCTTAAAGCGTAATGATTTAGCCTTTCAGAACAATATAGTCAATAATTAATGATGTACTTGCATGATGTTTTAAAATCCCTTTTTCATCTGTATGTTGCCTTTTTATCCCCTTTTCCTGTCTTGTTTTTATGTCTGTTTATATATATCTTCTTTAATGTCTAATACAAATCAAAAAAGAGGCAAGTCAAGGAGAGAATTGCATTTCACAAGATGAATCAAATCACTCCAAGCCAAAAAGAAGTTTAGGAAATGTTTTATTTTTTTTTTAATTTAAAATACTTACAGCCTTCCCTTCTGGCAGATATGCAAGCTGGCTAAGATAACTCCGTAACTTGGCATAATTTACAATATATTACAACTGCAATATAACAAAACCAATTATAGTCAACAAAGATTAAACATACATGATATAAATTAAAACATAGCAAAAAAAGAAAACGTAGTTAAATCACGAATTACAGCTTTTCAGATATTTTCTGGGAAAATCACCTTTATTGATGTTAGGAAGGAAGAGCAAACTTTATTAAGGAATTTTTAACAGGAAGGTTTTGTTCTTTCTAATCTGCCTTCCCTTTGAACCTTTAGTTCTCATTTTATTATTATATATTTAAGAAGATCAGATCAAAGGCTCCATAGTGCAGGTTACACCTTAAAATCAGAACCCAGAAGAACTTAGTTAATCCACATCACGGGCCTATTTAAAATGAAGATAATCTTTGGGCCCTGAAAGCATGCAGGTGTCAGGTTAGAATTTAGTAGTGCACCTGTCAGCTCCTGGAAGCGCACAAGTTAACATACTTTCCTGTCTCACAACTCAATTAGTACATCCTTTAATTTTCACACACACACACACACACACACATCTTTTTCTAACAGCTCCTTAAAAAACCCCACAACTTGTAATTAGCAGGAAAAATAAATCTAGCATTTTTGAATTCTTTCCCCAGGGGGGAAAACGAATTTCACAGCCTGCAGGCTGCCAGCAAAGAGGTCAAAGAATTTAGTTACTGCTGCTAAAGGCAAGAATAAATAACTGAACAATTTTGCAAGTCTCTCCTGTTACTACATCATCTTACTTGCAGAATGTGGCCTGGGATTGCACAACAGGCTAGATTAAAATCCGGCTGACTAGTTTGTAGATGTTCGGTAGAGACCTCACCAAAAGTGATTTTAATAGTCCACGAAGGGACAGGAAAACCTGGCAATCAATAAACCATGGTGGACTATGCTTGTTTTGCCCTATTTTGATTCTCCTTTCCAGCCTGGCCCTGCCAAGGAATGGGGGCAGGAGCCAAGGCTACAAGGTCTCTCCAGCTGAGGTTCATTGGGTGACACACACACACTCACACTCACACACACACAGAGTGACCCTGGGTTACCTACCTCTTGCGGCTGATTTTGTCAGGGATACTCAAAAGCTACACACACACACACACTCACACACAGAGCCTGGGTTACCTACCTCTTGCAGCGGATTTTGTCAGGGGCGCTCAAAGGCTACACACCAGTGGTTCTCAACCTTTTTAATGCTGCGACCCCCCAACCGGTCGTAAGTTGAGGACTACTCAACTGGTGCAGCACCGTTTGCAGAATGGGACTCTTGGCGGGCTCAGCAGGGCAGAGACAGCCTGGACAATTCCTATTGGCTTTTGAAAGCCAATAGAATTAGACTCTATTCAAGAGAGTCTATTCTATTGGCTTTCAAAAGCCAATAGAATAAAAGGGAGTAGCACAGCTAAAGAAAAGGGGGGAAAAATGGCGGACTGCGTTGATTGGCGACCCCCGTGAAATGGTCGTTCGACCCCAAATGGGGTCCCGACCCACAGGTTGAGAACCACTGCTACACACACACACACACACACACACACACAGTGAACCACACACACACACACACAGTGAACCTGGGTTACCTACCTCTTGCAGCGGATTTTGTCAGGGGCGCTCAAAGGCTGCCCCATCTTTACTCTGGAATTTCGGAGTTGGCAAGCGGAGGGGCTGCACCTGCTGCAAAGACTCCCGGTCCCTCCCTGGCCCTTTCTGACCCCGACGGCCTAAACAAGGCTGAGCCAGGCCAAGCCAAGCCCCACGCTCGCCCCTTCTCTGCTCCTCCGGGCTGGGCTGCAGGCAGCGCCGGATCCGGGCAGGGAAAGGCCGCTCTCGGCCCGACAGGGAGGCGCCTCCCCAGACAGGAAAGAGCGCGGCGGCGGCGGCGGCCGCCGCCTCTCCCAGGCCCGTCACGCAGGCGCAGCCTCAGCCGCTCCGCCCGCGAAACGCGGCGCTTCAGCTGGCCCTCGGGGAGGCGGCGGCTCTTTGGATGTTTGGCCGCGGAGATCTCGCGGTGCTGGCGGCCGGCCCGGGCTGCCTTCAGACGCCGCCTCCTTTTGCTGTCGGGGTCGGGACTGTGCGCAGTGGAGCGGGCGGGGAGGCGCGCCGGCGGCAGCAGCAGCAACAGCAACAGCAGAGGAGGAGGAGGAAGAGCCGGAGCCGCAGCGGCCGGAGGCGGGAAGGAGGAGCGCGCTGGTCTGCCTTCGCCAGCGCCGCCGGAGCCTCGCCCAGTCCGATGTGCCTCCTGCGGCGGCGGCGCTGCAGCTGCTGCTGCTGAGCCAGCCGACGTGCCGGCCGAGCCTTTCCGCCGCCGCCGCCTCCCGCAGTCCGACCATGGCCATCCCGGCGACGTGCACCCGCTTCACCGACGAATACCAGCTCTACGAGGAGCTCGGCAAGTACGTCCCCCCGCCCGGCCGCCCCATCCTTCCCGCCTGCCTGCGCGGCACAGCCCCGGGCACCGCCGCGCCGCGCCTTCCGGGGGCCTGGAGCCCTGGCGCGTCGGCCTCGCTTCCCAGGCTTGACAGCGCCTCCCGCTCGGCCCCCCGGGCACTGCGGTCTTTCCGCGACTCTCCCCGGGCCAGCCTCCTGGGCCGCCGGCTTGCGCAGGAGCGGCGCTGCCCGCCCCTCCGTAGTTGCTCGAGCGAGCTTGCAACTTCTGCGGCCGACGGGCGCGGAAGGGGCTGCGCAGCGCCGAGGCGGCTGGAGGGGGCCCGGGCAGCTGCGGCACCGGCGCCCGCTCTGGGGAGCCTCGTGGCCGGGGAGCCAATCTCGGCGCTCCCGCTGGGAAGGCCAGCCTCACCTGACTCTTCACTTCGAGATTTTCCCCCCCTTTCTCCCCGCCCTGCATTACAGCAAAGGACCCTTGCTACATTTCTCACCCGTCAAGATCAGCTCTCTGTATGTGTCTCCCTTCGCCCCGTCCTCAGCGTGCGCCGCCTCTGTCTTTCCGTCTGTATTTTTCTCCTAGGTGCCCAATCTAGGGGAAGGAATAGTGGGAACTGGGAATATCCCCGGTGCGTCTTCTTTTTGCACCAGGCTGTAAGCATCCCTCCGGCTTGGTCTTGGACCCTGGGGGTGGTTCTTTTTCATTTCTGTGCAGGAATGGAAGCAGGTGGATACCGGTTGGGGGGAAATGGCTCTCTATCAGGGCTGAAATTGGCAAGGTAGGAGCAGCTGGGTCCCAGCCTAGAAAGGGTCCTTTAGATAGGTGTATCTCACTACCCATGACTCCCAAGTCTAGAGCAGAATCCTTTGCCTTGCAATGGGCAAGTCCACGGCTGATTTTGAAACTTCTTGTCTGCAATAATAATAATTCTAACCTATTCTAACTTTGCCACGATGTGTCTGAGGTTCTCTCTTCTCTCCACCCCCCCTGCTCAGAATTGGAAGGGGAAGGTGGTGTGGGGGGGTGGCACTTTCCTTGCTTTCTTGGGTGGCCCCTCTTTCAGGATGCTATCCTTGCTTTCTGGGCACCAAACAAGATGGGCATCCCATTTCTCCTGTGGAAAAAGCGGAGGCTTCCAAACGGAATACTGTTTTTGAATAGGCTGCTTGTGGTGGCTTGTGCTTGTCTGTCTTAGGACTGGGGCTTCCCTTGCTAAATTTGGACTGCCCGTGTTATAAAAGGCCACTATGAAGTACATATCAAGGCTCTTCTCATTAGAGTAACAGTATTTCAGCTCTGCAGAGGGGGGGGGGGGTGCTAGGAAACTGAAATAGGAGTGGCCATTTGAGATTTCCCCCCTTTGGAAGGGTTTGACGTGTTTTTTTGGGGGGGGGGGGCCTCCGTTGAAGAAAATGAGTAATGGATACAGTGAGCTCTTGCGGGGCTGTGTTCACGGTTAATCAAATTAGCAATAGTCACAGAACACGCTGAGCCATAAAATAGCCACACGATTTTAGTTTGTATAATACATTGAGCCACACGTTTCAGCTGCAATCCCACCTTCTGTGTCCAAAGTGATCGAGCTCGGAGGCCAGGCTGGAATCAAAGAGTAAATTAAGTAAACAAACCTCAAAACCTGTCACTTTTTTTCCCCTTACCCATGCTGGCTGTTTTCCAGACCATCTGATTTCTTGGAAGCTCCTTCTCCCGTACCAGGGGTAGGCCACCTTGGCTCTTTTATGACTCGTGGACTTCAACTCCCAGAATTCCTGAGCCAGCATGGCTCAGCTTGGAAACCTCTCTCTTTCCCCTCAGCGTGGCTGGCTCAGGAATTCTGGGAGTTGAAGTCCACGCGTCATAAAAGAGCCAAGGTTGCCTACCCCTGCCCTATACTAATAATTTTTCTGGTTTTGGCTCTATAACCAATTGAGCGAATGGGTTCTTTTAAATAACTTGACAGATTGAATCCTTCGTTCTTGATTCAGTTTCACGGGATCAGCCTTTCCGTATTTCTTCTAGGGGTGCTTTCTCAGTGGTCCGGAGATGTGTGAAAAAAACCTCATCTCAAGAATTTGCTGCCAAGATCATCAATACAAAGAAGCTGTCAGCAAGAGGTAAATATCCCAGCGCTGGTTTTAATCAAATTCCTATACAGGATAATGTTGGAGAATTGATTGCAAGGCTCTTGATTGATACGGTGTGGCAAATGTCCTCACTGATCTTCTTGGAATCGGTGTTTCTTTTAGCTTTGATTTTGGAGTATGCTGCCTCCAAGCTCATAGTTAGAATGGATTCATTTCTTACTCGATACTAAACATCGTGTACTGATGCTTAATAGTGAGCATCGAATTAACTACCTACCTAGTAAGTCACTCAACCTATTAGCGGGTTGGTGTTATACTTTCAGAAGTATAAAATGCGTTATGACGCTGTATTTGGACTGATTCCTTTTTAAACTCCCAGGGGCTTAGTTCTAAATACGTTTGCTTAGAGCTGCATTGAAATTGGCCCAAAAGATTATATCAGGCCTCTCCAATTCAGGTGTATTTTATTTCGTATTTTGAAGCCTAGAAGAACGTTGGAATCGGAAAGAGAAGGGATTGTTGGAGGAATTGTCCAGGGCCCTTGTCCTGAAGCTGTTGGTATTACAAGTAATAATATTTTTGTTTTTAGCGTTGGGATTTGGGGCTTGAGTTTGTTACTATTATTTAGTATAGTGATGAATTTTTCAGGCCTGGGGATTTGGCACGTGAAAAATCGGTGGAATTTATGAAGAACAAAAAGCGTCAATAATAAAGTCACGTTTTCTTTTCAGGGATGTTATGCTTTGCATGCACTTAGCTATAGATTACTAACACGCAACATCAACTCCACATTACTTAAATACATCTGTGAAATGGTACTCGTACGATGCTTAAAATGATGCATTCCGTGATGTTTTGTCCACTCATCCAAGACCTCTGTTTGAAGAAGCAGCCCATAATAGCATGCCCCCATGCTTTTATACTGTTTTGAGTAGCTTTCAGTGGCATAAAATGTGTAATAATCCAATTTAAGTGCAAGCATTTACTTATTCAGTGGTTCTGTAGCAAATGTTTATCTATTCTGCGTAATTAACCAGTATGTATAATGATATTTTCCGTAAAGCCAGGGTATTGATTTCATCCTAATCAGTGTGATAGTTCTTTACTGATTTTCCAATTATCTTACCTGTTTTCAGGTTTCAGGGCATCTAGCTGATGGCATGCAGTTACTTGAACTAAAGAGTTGTCTTTGTTGCATGCAATATTAATGTTATTGTTTCTTCTTGTAATTCCTCCATGACTTCTATAATTGCATCTTCAGTTCAGAGTCTTCTTGATTTCCTCTCTCCCTCCTTTTTAGCAACTTCAGCACTAACAGTCGCCTTCCTTTGCTCTGACTTAAGACCTCCTAAGCAGGAAATTCCTTGTTCATAACGTACATTGACTATGCGTTTGAGGAAGGGGTGTCTGCTTCTCAACATGGGGAGAGTAAGGATCTACGAATGCCTTTTCAACCATTGTAGATGGCAGAAAATCAAAGACCTGAACAGGTGCAGAGTTGGTAGAGAAAACTCAAAGCTTGTTCCCTGTGAGAATTTCTCTCCATTTCCTACTACAAAATATAGATTACGATTATTTTCATTTACCACAATTGTGTCTTTGTCCCTGCAGTCCCTGTTTTCTTTTCATGACAATTCTGTTAGAAAGACATCAGTTGTCCTAACAATTAAATTATCATTATGTCTCAGTGGAAATTTGAATTTCCCAGTATGACTTGTAACTATTGCACTGGTCTGGTCTTTGGTTTTTTTCAATGCATTTTGGAAGAACTATAGAGCAGTAATTAGGGCAGGTAATACTATGCTGAAGTTTGGGTTTCTCTGACATACCTGCCTCAAAGAGAGGTTTACCAAGTGGGAGGAAGGATAATGGGTGCACCAAACTTCATTACAAAAGAGTATATAATTTTATTCAAATTCCTGAAAAATGTATGCAGCTTTAGGTGTATAATTCCAAAAGAAAAAAATTGATATATTTGGTCATAGATTATGGCGCAAGAGAAATGAGGTGTAAATGTATTTATTTATGAAATTAATAGCAAAAGTAAAGTCATTGAACTAATGGGTCCATGTCTGTGAAGATTGGAGAGTTATTATTGACTTATTATAAGATGGAACAGACGGATAACATGATCTGAGCGTCTACAAATTGGTAGCAGCATTCAGCATTGAATGGGGGCAGCTATCTTCTGGCAAAGTCAATACAAATATTAGTGGTGCCAAGAATCAATGGAGAATTGTTTTTTAGTGATGATAGGAGATACTGTCTTATTGTTTTTGCAATAAGACAGCTGTAATACATGATACCTCAAAGCTATCCAGAGCTTAGGAGCAATTATAAGGCAGAAAATATAAAGGAGTGATTAGTCTAAAACGGGGGTGTCAAAGTCAATTTCATTCAGGGCCGCATCAGCATTGCGGTTGCCCTCGGGGGGTGGGAGGGTGCTGCCTACTGGGTAGGCGTGGATGGAGTGGGTGCGGCCTACTGGGTGGGCATGGCGAGCTCTACATCATTCATGTCAAGGGGGCCTGTGGGGGCCTGGGCAGGAGTGGGACAGATCTGAGGGTCTCTGGCAGAAGGGGCTGGGACCAGGGCAAGCGCCAAGGCATGGTCCATTTCTTCATTCCTCACAAAGGGTGACACCTCCCCAGCATGCACTCACCGGGCGGGGCCGAGGCCGACGGGGCAGGGGCTGGTTCCTCACTGTTTCCAGACGGCCTTGTGGAGCTAAGACTGAATGCGTTTCAGCATAGATGGCCACCACAAAAATTGTACATTGGCTCCCGGCCGGCCTGGGCCAGGGCCAAGGCAGCGGGGGCCGTTCCCTCACTGTTTCCAGGATGGCTCGCGGGCCACATGAAACCACTTTGTGGGCCGCATCAGGCCCCCGGGCCTTGTGTTTGACATGTCTGGTCTAAAATGACAATAGCATCTAAGATAATCTCTGATTCCAAGTATACCATAAAAGATGGAAGGAGAAGATCACTACTTGTCTCTTCCAGGAAAACCATGGGGCAGATCTTGTTACTGCACATCTGTGAGGAAAACTATATTCAGCACGAATTCCTACTGCTGCTGGTTCTGCTTTCATCTTCCTCCCGTTGGGCTCAAATTATTGGTTGCTCCAATGTGTGGGAAAATGTGTCTGAAGTTGGGCTTTGCTTTGACCATATGTTGTGTGCAACAAGATTGCCATACAAATCTGTTCCTTGTGAATCACCACTGTGCAGAGATGGCAAAATAAACCACAGTACACATACACAGTGTGTGCAGATTGTGGTAAGGGTGTGAAAATTAGAAGGGGGAAAAAAAATCTGTCAATTGTCATGATATCTACATCGTGGAGTAAGAATGTAAGGGCCCAGATGACTTTATTGAGCTGCAATAAAATGTAAGCCATTATCACCAGCCAAGAAAGCAACAGGCAGTTAGTTATTCTAGCTGATCAGTGATAAATGATCATGCTTGTGCTAAAGATGGTGGATTAATTCATTTCAGCATTTCTGAGCACCGTGAAGGGTGGAGTTCTGAGTATTACATATTGAGTAGAAGGGCAAAGTAGGAAAATACATAAAGTCAGAAAATACCAAGAGAAACTCTTTAGGTCTCTATATGTCAAGAACCTTTGCTGGAAAAGGGAATCTGGCAGAGTACGTTAAGATCAGATATAGCTCTGGGTGACCTAAGAGGTGTTCAGTTTCTCTGGTGCTTATAGAGCGGCAGTGTGAGTCAAGACTATGACTAAACACTCGGCTTAGAAAGTATTGGAGCCACAGTAACGCCAGCTGCAAAGTGGCAGTGAGATTTCACCCACCCCATCTCTTTCTTTACAAATTCAGCCTGCTTGTAAGAAAGGCTGTGGTGCAGTGTTTCCTCTAGCAAGTGTGAGTTGGCCTTGATCATTTCGGCTTCCTTTAAATACCAGCTTTTTTACTATTTCAGTAGTCTCTGGAGTCACGTGTTTTAGTATGTGCTTCGCGCTTTTCCTTTAACATGTGCTGGCCCTCTTATCTGTGAAGTAAAACTGGTTTAGAGCGGGGCAGCTTACATTTCTTAGTACATACTTGTGTGGGAGCCAAGATTCTTGGTGCTGACAGAGACACTGAAAACAGAAGTGAATTGCTTCATCACCAGAGTGGCAATTATAATCTGTGATTTGGCTAGCTTGAGGTTAGTAGAAGCAAGGCTGAAGAACTGCAATCTGCTGGTGTTCTAGTAAGGAAGGCAGCGGATGAGCAGAAAGCCTGTCTTTTGCCCAGCGCTTGCTCTGCATCCATCCTTCCTTCCTCTTCTCTTGAATCTCTCTTTCTATATAGACTAGTGGTTCTCAACCTTTTTAATGCCGCGACCCCCAACCGGTCGTAAGTCGAGGACTACTCAACCGGTCGTAAGTCGAGGACTACTCAACTGGTGCAGCACCATTTGCAGAATGGGACTTTTGGCGGGCTCAGCAGGGCAGAGACAGCCTGGACAATTCCTATTGGCTTTTGAAAGCCAATAGAATTAGACTCTATTCAAGAGAGTCTATTCTATTGGCTTTCAAAAGTCAATAGAATAAAAGGGAGTAGCACAGCTAAGGAAAAGGGGGGAAAAATGGCGGACTGCGTTGTTTGGCGACCCCCGTGAAATGGTCATTCGACCCCAAATGGGGTCCCGACCCACAGGTTGAGAACCACTGATATAGACTATATATAACGCAAGAGATAGACTCTTGACTTGGACGGAGATAACACCTTGCATTGCAAAACATCTCACACTGTTAAACCTTGACATGGATTTAGAATAATAGTTGTCATGGCTGTGACTTTAGTCCAGAATTGATTCCATAACTGGGAAAAGAGGTGTTGAATTTGTTTCTGGCATCACTTTAGGAGAAAAGGGAAGAAGGCTATTAAGCTGTTTCAAAATCGTTTGTCTGCTGATGTAGTAGCTTTTCACTTCATGATATCTGTGCTGAAGTCATGTGAGTTTCCTTTGCTCTCTTTGAGAGTCAGTTTTCTGTAAAAAAAAAAGTATTAATAGAATATTGT